GAGAGCTGGCCTGGAAGAGGGGCAACCGGGACAGAATCTGGCGCCCCAACCGGGACTAGAACCTGGTGTGCCGGCGTTGCAAGGCGGAGGATTAGCCTAGTGAGCTGCAGCACTGGCCTATTATTATTATTTTTTAAGATTGATTTATTTGAAAGGAAGAGAGAGAGACAGGGAGCGAGAGAGAGAGTCTTCCATCTACTGGTTCACTCCCCAAATAGACACAACAGTCAGGGCTGGGCCAGGCTGCAGCCAGGAGCCTGGAACTCCATCCAGGTCTCCCACGTGGGTGGCCCTTGGCCCATCTTCCACTGCCTTCCCAGGTTCATCAGCAGGGAGCTGGATCGGAAGTGGAGCGGCCGGAGTCTAAATGGCACTCACAGGGGATGCAGGTGTCACAGGCTGTGGCTTAACCCCCTGTGCTACAGCACTGGCCTCAGGGTCTGCACTGGGTGGGCGCTGTCATGTGGGCAGTAACTCCCTGATGCTTTTGGGGTGAAGCCAGCCATGGCTCAGCAGCCTCCAGGTGCTGGGACAGCCACCAAGCAGGGCCGAGGGTGCCTGTGTTTGAGGAGGGAGACGCCTGCTTGGGGGGAGGGGTGGCAAGGGGACTGGCCACCCTAGCTTCAGGACTCAGCGAGGCTGGGACGGAAGTGAGTGGGGCTTCTGTGGTCTTGGATGGAATTCCGCATGGGGAGGGATGGAGAGCCACAGACTCCGGGCATTTGCCTCTGAGCCCTGCATCCGGAGGGCGTCTAAACCTCAGCTTATTAAAAGGTTCTCTAGGTTGGAGGAAGGCTTTGCGAGCGGAGGGGGCACATGCACGAGGTTGGGATGTCTCTTTGGTGGTCAGAAGCCCCCAGGGGTTCTGGGGTGGCCGAGCAGCAGCTAAGGGACACTCATCTTGCCCCTGTGACGCCCCCTTGCTCACTGCAGCCTGGGGGCAACTCTGATCTACAGCCCCGGAGTTTTCAAATCTGTAGAATGGGGTGTAGTAGGACACAGCCCGAGTCCCACAGGTAGGGGGACAAGGGGCCCCTGCCCCCAAGCCCTCCCCGTTCCTTGGGCTCCCTTTCGCACCCGCAGAGGCAGGGGTCTCCCATTGCTCCCGGACTCTGGGGAGGGAGCTCAGGGGGTACAAAGCCAGGTGTCCCCTTGGGTAACAGTTTGGGCGGGGTTTGTGTGCCTTGGAAGCTGATCCCAGTGTGGCGATGAAGGGGTGTGGGACCTCTGAGAGGAGGAGCCTATGAGAGGTGGTCAGGTCTCCCAGCAGGGATGAACGCCGGGCACCTGGATTCAACCAGGGCTCTGCCAGGCCAAAGGCAGGAGCCCAAAACGCATCTGGGTCTCCCATGTGGATGACAGAGCCCAGAACTTGAGCCACCACCTGCTGCCCCCACAACACCAAGAGAGTGTACAGCAGGGAGCTAGACTGGAAGTCTGAGCCAGCAACACAGCCGAGCCGGTCTCCCTGCAGAGGGCGGGGCAGCAGAGTGGCTGCTGCTGTGCAGTGTTGGGCACGAGCCCCGGCTCTGAGCCGCAGTGTGCTCACGGTGACGCTGGGACTCACTGCTGCTCTGAAGGTGGCTGGCCGGCTACGCCTGGTTGTGATGCGTGTGTCCTGCGGATCGTGGCCACGGTGACAGAGATCGCACCCCCACCCGCCCCGCCCCACACTGCACCCCTGCAGGAACAACACGGACAGCCCTGGATCCAGCTGCCACTGGCAATCACGGCAGCCGGTCCCGTTGCACTGCCCGCCTCCCACACCCACGCCCGGTGTCCGGTCCAGCACTGAGCAGACTCTGTGCAATGTGAGTTTTTATTGTTGCCTCCTCCAGTGAGAGGCCGGCAGGCAGCAGGTGGGGCTGCACCTGCTGAGCACGTAGGCCCAGGGTGGCCCTGGGTTTCTGGCTGGGAGCGCTCCCTTAACAAAGAGGATCTGAGAAGATTTTATTCTGCAAAGAGAAGTCGGGACACCTGGTGAGTCCGGGGCCAAGAGACACCTGCAGGGCGCAGGCACAGGGCACTTCCTGGGGAGGAGCTGCAGCCTGGCACTGGATCTGGGCAGCTAAAGGCAGATCCTCTCCTGCACCTGGGTGCCTGAGAAGCTCTCCTAAAAATCCCTCCCTTGGTGAGGAATGAGGAGGAGGTTCTCTGTGGGGGGTGCAGGTGAGGCTGGGACAGGCAGGGGCTACACGGAAGGCCTGGCAAGGCGGCAGTGGCACCAGGGGCCTCCAGGAACACGCAGACCCCAGTCCGCTGGCCCCTTCTGTCTCTGCACACTTGCAGCCTAGCAGTGCCCATCCCTGCCTGTGCTCCACCTGCAGAGTCAGGGTTTCCTCTGCTTTTCCCCAGCCGCCGCCAGGCCCCGGAGGACAGGAGGGGCTGTTGGAGGCCTGGTTCCAGGCTCGGGAGCCCCAGATGGCCCTTTGGGGTCCAGGGAAAAGGAAACATGAGGTCTGGGGGTGGAGGAGGGCACCCGAGGGGTCAGGGTGAAGAAGTGAGAATCGAAGGCAGGCAGCACCCAGCAGCCACCGCTTGAAGAAGATTCGGGCTCGGGCGCTGGAGAGGCTGCTAACAGGCCTGGGAAAGCAGTGGAAGACGGCCCCAATATGTGGGCCGCTGCTCCCGCATGGGAGTCACAGTTGGAATTCTGGTTCCTGACCTTCGCTTGGCATAGAACTGGACCTCAAGGACTTCTGGGGAATCAACCAGTAGATGAAGGATTTGTCTCTCTTTCACTGTCACTCTACATTTTGAATACATAAATAATTCCATTTTTTAAAGATTTATTTATTTATTTGAAAGTCAGAGTTAAACAGAGACAGGAGAGGCAGAGAGAGAGAGAGAGAGAGAGAGAGGTCTTCCATCCGCTGGTTCACTCCCAAGATGGCCACAATGGCCGGAGCTGTGCCGATCCAAAGCCAGGAGCCAGGAGCTTCTTCTGTGCAAAGAGCTAGATCGAAACAGGAGCACCTGGGACTAGAACCGGTGCCCATATGGGATGCCAGTGCCTCAGCCAGGGCGTTAGCCCACTGGGCCGCTGTGCCAGCCCCAATAGTTCCTTTTTAAACACAGGAAGCTGGGGCCGGTGCTGCGGCTGTGGTGTAGTGAGTTAAAGCCTCCGCCTGCAGTGCTGGCATTCCATATGGGAGCCAGCTTGAGTCCCGGCTGCTCCACTTCCCATCGAGCTCTCTGCTATGGCCTGGGAAGGCAGTAGAAGATGGCCCAAGTCCTTGGGCCCCTGCACCTGCATGGGAGACCAATAAGAAGCTCCTGGTTCCTGCCTTTGGATCGGCACAGCTGTGGCTTTTGGGGCCAGTTGAGGAGTGAACCAGCAGATGGAAGACCTCTCTCTCTCTCTCTCTCTCTCTCTCCCTCTCCTCTCTGTGTGTAATTCTGACTTTCAAATAAATAAATAAATCTTAAAAAAAACAGTAAGCTTATTTCAGTGCAAAAATTTTGAAAGTCACATATGACTTTTTCGTAAAATGCATCTTTCATTACTTTTTTTTTTTTTTTACAGGCAGAGTGGACAGTGAGAGAGAGAAACAGAGAGAAAGGTCTTCCCTTGCTGTTGGTTCACCCTCAAATGGCCGTCGCGGCTGGCGGGCTACAGCCGGCACACCGCGCTGATCCGAAGGCAGGAGCCAGGTGCTTATCCTGGTCTCCCATGGGGTGCAGGGCCCAAGCACTTGGGCCATCCTCCACTGCACTCCCGGGCCATAGCAGAGAGCTGGCCTGGAAGAGGGGCAACCGGGACAGAATATGGCGCCCCGACCGGGACTAGAACCCAATGTGCTGGTGGCGCTAGGTGGAGGATTAGCCTCAAGCCCGCTTTCACCGACTCCCGGCGTCTGTGTGGTGACTCCATGCCTCTAGCCGCCACCAGGCTCCTCCTCTCAGAAACGACTCCACTGCAATATTGTTGAGAAATCAACTGCAACAGTGCACATGTGGAAGAAGCTGGACTCAGGGGCCGAGGCAGGGGATGGACCCCGGGTGGTCCAGGAGGGGATGCACGTGCCCAGTGGTGTCTTCCCCACGTTGCCTGCCCTGGGGTTGTCATCAGGGACAGGGCCCAGTCCTCCTCCAGCCCCGTCTCACTCGGGCTCCTGCTGGGGGATGCTGTCTGCCATGAGACCCTCACCAGAAGCTGGTGCCGTGCCACGCTCTCGGGCTGGTCAAGCCACAGGCAAAGTGAACTTCTTTCATTTTCTAAGCAACGCGGCTTCAGGTATTTTGCTATTGCCACACAGAGTGGCCAGGACTCCCCTCCAACTGCAGCTAAACGCCCTCCAATGAGCCTGAAGGGTTTCTGAGAAAGCCTCTTCCCGAAGCATCAGGGGTTCCCCATCCCAGATTTTAGTTGAGGTCTCCCTAAACCTGCTCTGGCTTCCTGTGCCACCTAAACCCCCGGGTCTGAGTCCTCTGTTAGGGGTGGCTGGGGGTACAGGCAGAGGCCAGCTCAGCAGCACTGCTCATGGCACCTGGGAGTCCGGCAGGACTTCGAGTCCCTCAGGTCAACCTCTAGAGCCATCGCGGGGCCTCATCTGTGTCCTGGGAGACAGGAGCCGGGCAGGAGCTGGGAAATGCTGAGTCTGCGAATTCACCTCTGTCCTTACAGGGCTCTGGAGCCGCCCCTACATTTCAGGTGAGCCGTGGCCCGCGTGCCCGGCTGAGAGCTGTGGCTACACGGCCACAGAGATCACCTCTGACAGTGGTGCTTGTGGGAGAGCAAGGTGACCTGCGCGCTACGGCCCTTCCTGCCCACAGCACATGAGCTCAGCACACAGACCAGGCCTCTCCAGCGTGCTGCGGCAGCCCTTCCTGGAGAACCTCTCTGAGTCCCAGGGCCAAGGGCTCTGCTCCCGTGGTGTTCACACACAGGCACAGCCGAGAGCAAGTCCCTCTCACCTCCACTGAGAATCCATGCGATTCTATCAAATGTGCCTCCTGCCTACGCTACCAACACCTGGTCAGTTGGGCAGTAGACGTACTCTGGCCACTGGTCGCCTCCCAGCCCACAGTGCACATCCTCTCCCACGTGGGAGAGCCATGTGGGGTCAAGCCAGGGATGCTGCAGCCACGGCCGCCCAGGTCTAGGGGAGAGCACAGAGGTGACACAGGCCCTCCAACCACGGCTGTTCCTATTGTGCCGATCTGTCCCAGAGGTCACGGGCACTCACGGCTGCTGCTCTCCCACCCTGGCCCAGTCCCCACAGGGCACAGCTGAATCTCAGGCATTGTCTGCAGGGTCCTGAGTGGGTCTCTGCCTGGGGCTGGGGGCTGTGGAACCACCCATCTCCCCAGGAACACGGGGAAGCTTGCTGCCGCTGGGCGCCGGGATCACAAACTGGAGCAAACTCCTTTCCATGGAACAATTTAATACAGGCTCAGCACCACCTGAGGGTGGCGGTGGGGGAGGGGGCGGGGAGGAGAGTACAGTGGCTCCTGGCACGGCTGTTGTCTTCCAGTGTCAGGGTGTCCTGGCCCCAGGAAGAGCCTGGGGGGTGGGGGCTCAACCAAGTGTATAGGATGCCGTGAAGACACACGGAAGGCTGCTGCCCAGCCTGGGCAGGACAGATGCTGGACTCGGCCTCTCTTCTAGGAGGCACCCATCATCCAGGTGCCCCACAGAATAAGAAGTAAGGAGGCCTCTGGCCAGGGAGGGCACGTGGGCCTGGTGTCCCAGCCCAGGGCTGGCTCTGGCCGGCTCCAGCCCGTGACTCTCGCCAGAGTGCGTGCGGCTGCCATGCCAGTAGGGGGGAGTCTTCAGCCACGGCCCCCAGGCGGGGACCGCCTGCATGGGCCCTGGTTCTGGGTGCTCCGAGGCCCGTGGAGGAGCCCACATCCACAGGCCCTCCCGGCTGCCAGCGTCGGAGGAGTCGTCCTCCCTGTGCTCTGGCCCGCTCAGGTTAGGGAGACTGGCGCACTGGCACAGGCCTCCCCACCTCGAGCACTTTGGAGACTCCGTGGGGCTGGCAGAACCTGGAGACTCTGCGGTCCCCACAGGGGAGCCCAGGCCGAGGGGCTCTGGGCTGCCTTCCCAGCTCTCCTCCTCCTCCATGCCTTCCCTCTCGGCGATGCAGAGGCCAAAGCTTTCTGGAGGACGGATCATCACTGCACGGGTAGCGGGACCCCTGGTCTGCTCCCACACTGCCACTGTGTCCTGAATGGTGATTTTGGCCTTCGGAGCAGTGGGGGCAGGAAGGTGCATCTGGGGGACGCGTGCCTGCCCCAGGGGCCTGCTGCACTGTTCGATGGCCTTGGCTGGAAGAAGAAGAGACGCGGTTTGCTTCTCCACAGCCCCCGTCTGGCCTGCAGGGTGCCTGCCCCGACCTCACCCTGGGGTCCCCATCACCACGTGTGACGCTGAGGACTCTTCCAGGCTGCTGGCCCCAGAGGGGAGGGTGTGTGCAGCCTGGGCAAGGGGAGCCCTGGGACACCACCGGCTCCTCCTGCACAGCCCCACAGGGTGGATGGCCCTGAACTCCCCACCTCACTCTCATCTCTGGGGACTAAAGCACCAACTCAGGACCCCGTCCCCTCCCCCACCTGACCTGCTGCGCCCTAACAGTGCATTGGCTGAATTTCCCGCATCTGAGTCCCTCCTACATGGCTGGAAAGGAACTGAGCCTAAGATGATGGGGTGAGAGCTGGGGCTGTGGGGCAGACATGGAGTCTGGTTCAGGACTTGGGGACAGGGAATGCAGTTTCTAAAGAGGTGGCAGGGGTGCCCTGTGTCCTCTGCCCCTGGGCCACTGTCTCTTTCCTGGTGAGACTGGGCTGTCACCGCTACTGTCCCAGGAGCACCCAAGGAGGCAGCACCTGGAGGCACAGTGGGGCCTCCCCAGTGCCTGGACAGCCTGCACCTGGGCCCCCACTTAGAGCCTCTAGAGCTGGGACAAGCCCATCTCTGCTCTGCATGGGGACCCAGGCGCTCAGGTCCATGATGGCAGCAGCAGCAGGGAATGAGCACGGGGACCCCTCCCCACTAGAGCCCAGAAGCCAGCGATGCTCCGGGTCCCACTGCCTTCTGTTGGCCCGAGGCTAGGGCTGCAGAGCCCACACTCTTGTGTTCTGCCGTGGGGCCCCCAGCGCCTGCCTCTGTGCCCACCCCTGCTCACAGGAGTGCACTCGGCCCCCACAACTGGGCTCAGGGCACCTGGGCCTTCCAGGGGTTCTCAGATGGCTGAAGGGGATCCAGTGCCGGCAGCCTTTACATCACTGCACAGGGTCTCCCACAGCCCCACCTCCCTCTAGCCCTGCCCACATGCAGGTGGGAGCCCCGCCCACCCCTGTCCTAGGAGGGTCCTGTGTGCAGACAGCTGTGGTCATCGGGACAGGAGCCTGTGTGGGGTCAGTTGGGGAGGGGCCCCCTGGGCAGGCAGGGCCACTTCTCATCTTGCTGGAGTGGGGGTCCAGCTGTGCTCCAGGCTCCTGGGGGCACTGAGCCAGGGCACCTGCTCCAGACCTGGGCAGGGTAGCTCAAGGCGGGGCCTCCAATCCACTCCAGAGTGGGGGTCAGCCGAGGAGCCAGAGCCACAAATGTCCTGAGGACAGCTCCACGGCCCGGCCCCAGAGTCGTGGGGGGAGAGCCGGCACCCACAGGAGGATTCTGGGAAGCTGCCCGAGGCCCCGCCAGGCCATGCTGTCAGAGCTTCAGAAAGCAGAACTGCTGAGCCCGGGGAGGACAAGGAGGACCAGGAAGAGGTGAGGCCCTGGGCGGGGATGTCAGGGCCTGGCACTCCCACTACTGACTCCCCCAAGGGAGCATGGGACGGGGCCGTGTGGTGGACTCACCTTCGGGAGGCAGGAGGCACTGGAGCTTCCCCAGCTCACGCATGGAGGCCCGCAGCTGCCTGATGACCGCATTCTCGCTCAGAGACCAGGCCTGCTTCAGGGTCACCTGCAGGAACTCCCGGAGGTGGTCCCGGGGCATCTTCAGCAGGCGCTCTAGACATGGGGGTGGGTGTCAGGCTGGGAGGGGCCCTAGGGATGGCGCAGCCACCATGGCTGCTCCAAGCCCTGTCCCAGCACCAGACATGGGCTGCAGACACCCTTGGACACCCTTGGGTGTCACACCAAGCACTAGAGGGACTGCTCAGGGGCCAATTTCCAGTGCGATGACCCTGGCCACTTCTCCTTGTGGTCTGTGGGGGCCTGGGATTGGGGATGCAACAGGGGGATTCTCAGTGCCCTCCTGAAGGGAACCCAGGCCTCCCAAACCCCCTCATCCCTCCCTCAAGCCCTGCTCACGAGGGACAGGCAGGGGACCCCCAGCTCCTCCGTCCCCAGCACCCGGGCCTCTGTGGGCCCTGAGGACTCACTGTTATGGATCTTGAGGGCCGTGTATGCCATGGCCGGGAGCACGTGCTCGCCCTCCAGGATGTATATATCCCATATTCTCAGAGCCAGGGGGAACGGCACCTGGGGACAGAGGCATTGGAGGACCCGCCCATCAGGGCCTCAGCAGGGCCCACAGGGGTGGGTGTGCAGTGTCACTCCCCTAGGACAGAGGGAGACTCCAGGAGGCTGATCACACAAGAAGGCCAGAGCTCCTCCTGGGAGGGGAGGGGAGGCCATGCCTCATGGCCACATCCCTGCCCACTCAGCGAACCAGACCCACAGAGGATGACCATGTCCTGTCCTGGACCCTGGGGGTCTGCACACTTTGGAAGCCACACTGGAGATGCCAGACACCCCAGGGACCTGGGGAGGGCTCAGCCCTTGGGCTGTGCTGCCACCAGCCTCTGCCTCGGGGGGTCTATGGATCTCCTGCCTCTCACTGTAGGGCTCTGGCCTTTGCCAGGCTCTCTGGAGAGGTCCTGGTGGGACCTGTCCCCTCCTTGCTGGCTCTGAGGCTCAGCCTCAGCTTGGACCACCCTTAGCAGGGCTGGACAGGGCCTGCCTGGTCTGCACAGCAGGCTCCCTCCTGTGTCTGCTGGGGCTGGGGGAGCTCAGAGTCACAGGCCACCAGCACCAGAGAACCAGGCACTGGGGCAGGAGCTTCCCTGGGCAAGGGGTCCCCGGGGCACTTACCCCATCCAGGAAGCACTGGATGTACCAGTGGGTGGTGGAATCCTCCAGGCACACACCCTCCTTCTCCTAAGAAAAGGCAGAGGCAGAGGGGGCTCAGGGCCCAGGGCCCAGGGCCCAGGCCTGACTCCCTCTAATCTGAGCCCTGGGGCAGAGCCCCTGGGTGCAGGAAGCCCAGCAGCAGGGGCATCCCCCCTCCCAGCCATGCAGGTTCCTGAAGGGACACAGGTCCCTCCTTCCACTCTGCTCTGGGGACAGCGTCTCCCTTCAATCTACGCCAACTCTGGGGGACCAAGTGCTGGACAACAAACCAACACCCAAGCTGCCGTGGACCCCCGTAACCAAGGAAAGTTTTGGTGAGGACGTGGCCTCCCCTGGCTCAGGAAGCAGTTCCATGAGCCCAGAGCCCCCAAGAGGAGAAAGGAGATGCTTAACTTACCAGGTGTTTCTCCAGGGAGGGGAGCACGCGATGCACAATGAGCCCCAGGTGTTGCTGGAATCGCTCCAGTTTGGGGGTGTTTGGTTTGTAGAAACCTGAGTAGAATCAGCCACACCCCCACGTGAGAGCCTCCTCCTAGGAAGGCTGGAGAGCCCCAGGCCTGGGTGGGGTGCTTCTGAGCACTGAGGGTCAGGGGAGGCTCGACCAGGGGCAGGTGGGGATGAACGTGGCCAGGGCAGAGGATCTGCTTGGGAGGTGGGTGCAGGTGGGTGACTGTGTGCAGCCCAGGCCTGGCTGCCCCCTGGAGCCTGCTGGGGTGGGTGCAGTCAGACTGGGTGACTCCTGACCATTCCAAGACTCAGGAGCGAGGAGGGGTGACCCTACAGGGGATGCTGCCTTCCACAAGTTCCCTGGGTGTGGCTCTGTGCTTGAGAGTTGTGTACAGACGTGTGAGGCAGAAGAGCCAGAATCGACCTGAGTCACTGGACAAGGACCCAGGATGGCCATGGCCAAGCTGCAGGGCCTTTGGGTGGTGGTAAAAGAAGGGGGCTGCCTCAGTCTGGGAGGCCTCTGTCAGCTCTGCTTCCTGGGAGCCCCCCCCCACACACACACTGTGACACTGTCCTGCACATTCAGGAGCCAGTGAGGGCCGTGTACAGACTTGCATGCACTGGGCCCCACACGCCATCCACCTACCGTGCATCGCGTGCTTCCTGCTTTCCATGAGCTGTACCAGGGCCCAGAAAGCGTCCTCCTCGGGCATATACATGAGAAACAGCGCCACCACATGGCTCAGACCCTGGCTGTAGCCCACCTCCTGCAAGATCCCAGAACACCTTTAGGAGACCTCCCCTGGCAAGAATGATATCCTAGGATGGCCCACCTCTCAGGGAGATCAGGGTCACCCACTGAAGGGTCCAGGAAGATTGGGGAGGGAGCCCCTGTGCCTGAATCCTGCCACTTGGTGTCAGCTGCCCAAGAATTGGAGCCCAGAGAAGTTCTCCAAGTTCCTGGAGAGAATCCTGCAGGGCCTGAGCTTAGGCAGCACAGGGGGAGAGCTCAAGTATGGACACCTGTTACCCCCAAGATGTCAGCATGGGCCAGGTTGCTGTGGGAATCCAGATCCATGCCCATGGAAGCTTCTGGACCCCTGAGCTCTGCAGGTGAGCCGGTGGCCCTTTCTCACATGAGGAAGAAGTAAGCCAGGAAGTAATACCAGGACCGGAACAGGAGGTGTGCCTCTGGCATGGGTGCAGGCCTGGGCTTCCTGAATGCCAGGCCCCCCTGGGAACCAGGGCACCAGGCAGGGTTGGCCAGTGGCAGGTCAGGGGGGTGGGGATGTCCAGGCCTTGCTGGGTCACCCATGGAGCCCTGCGCCTGCTCCACTCATGGGAAAGTCTGAGTGGGTGGCTGTGGCAGTGGCGCTGTACAGAGTGGGATTCAGGCCCATGGGTCCAACCACAGGGCTGGTGGGTGTAATGGCATCAGTGGGACCCAGAGCAAAGTCGTACACCTGATCTGCCCTGCCTTCGCCCCCCGCCCCACTGCGTGGAATGCTAGTCCTGGGAGGGGCATCCCAACACGGCCAAGCTCCTGGGGTCTGGAGACCAGCCCAGGAGAAGGCTGCCTTTCTCCTCCCAGAACTTGAGGTTGGGTCCAAGAGGCTCAGAGCCTGGCCTCCACCGCTCTTCCTCAGAGCTGTGGATGAGCGAGGCCCCTCAACCCAGGCTGGGATCTTTGGGACCAGGGGTGCCCTGCAGGGACTGCCGGGATAGCACCTGCGCTATGATCCCAGAATACTCACAGGATTGTAGACGGAATAGGCCATCAGTATGTGGAATAAGGCCTGTTGGCTGGAAGAGAGAGGACAGAGGCCGTGTGTCTTGTGCTGCCGAGGCTCTCAGTGCAGCTCTGCCTAACAGAGCCTGACAGCCACACGCAGGGCCCGTGACACTCTGCTCATGTGCAGTGACGTCGTCAGGGCACCTGCGTGTTGTCCACCATGTGGGTGAGCGCCGCCTGCAGGGACACGCACACCTCCCAGGGCGCAGTCACGTGCACTTTCATTTCCCAGGTGGGTGTTCAGGGCACAGGTGAGCGTCCCACTGTGGGAGTGCAGTCCCGTGTGTCCAAGCTGTGGAGAGTCAGCCTCCCATGCACGTTCAGCCTTGTAGGGAGCAGCACCCGGCGTCCTCAGTGGTTTTAGTTCCCCCCTCCCACAGCTGTGCGCTGGTGCCCCTTTGTGGTGTAGGGAATAAGCGTGTGTTCATGCGCTGAGGAGGTGAATTGTGTGTGTGTTCATGAAGGGTCCCCCCCGAGCCTGTGTTCCCGGGGTACTGGGGGGCTGCCCACTGCTTCCTTGTGACTGAGTTGAAGGGCTCCTTGAATATTCTGGAAACAACACCTTTATTAGTTAGATTGCTACTATTGTCTCCCCTGGTGTTTCTTTTCATTTCATTCTCTCCACAGTGTCTTTGGGAAAGTTTGTGTACTATAGAAAAGGCAAGTTTGTTTTCTGTGCTCAATGAACTGTTTTAGGCTTGCACCCAATCTTCCCTAGGGACCCCATGTGCCCCAGGACCCTTGCTCCTCCCACCCGCGGGTCCTCCCCAGCCCAGAGGCCTCACTTCATTCCGTAACGTTCCCGGAACATGAGGTGGTTTCTGAAAGTCCATGCGATGGCGGAGTCGATGTGATGGAAGTGAGTGGCGCCCAGCCTGGCCAGCTCTTTCATCTCCTGCAGGGCAGGGACGAGGGGGAGGGGCAGCCTCAAGAACTGCACAAGCCCCATTGCCACACAAGGACCTCAAGTCCACGTCAGCTCTTCTGGCTGACAGGGAGTTCCCTGCAAGCGCTCATTCCTTTCTGGGTCCCGCCTTGAGGGAGGGTCATGGGCTCCCTAACTTGCCCCAGTGCCCACGTAACCCTGACGGTCAGCAGCAGACAGGGGCTCTGAAAGGTCCCTGTGCACTCCCCCTGCCTGCCTCAGCTCTCAGCACGATGTGGTCTGCCCCCAGCCAGGCTTCTGAGCCTTCTCACTGACATCTCAGGCCCTGCCCTCCAGGAGTCAGCCACAGCCTGACCACTGCTCCATGCTGCCCCCTGCTGGAGGGGCCCATCTCCATCTCGACATTGCAAGCCGCCCTTGGCTTGGAGCTGAGCCTGGGCAATGACTGTCTCCAGGCCCAGCTCCCAGGGCCAGCCCCAGACTGCAGACTTGGGGGAGGCAGGGTGGGCCACACAGCTGGGCCCTGCTCCCTGATGGCAGCCAGGGGCCATGAGAGC